CAACACTGATGAAGAGACAGGCCCATAAAGGTCAAGCATTTCACAGAACAAACAAAACTATATAAGGAATTAGCATTGTCGGGGTGGCCAAAATTCATTCCTGCAACAAATAAGTGCCTCTGTATCCTAACCACTGAGATAGGTACGTTAGGGTCATGGAGGAAATACTTCCTTTAACTACAAATCCAAACAAGTGAAGCTTTTAAAGGGGATTCTGTACTACTTCTCAGCAATAAAAAGACATGAACTTAAATGGATTATTGATACTAGCAACAACATGTATGAATTGCAAAATTATGCTGAGTGACATAAGCCAGACAAAAAAGAGTACATCTTTATTTGATTCCATTTATTTATTTATTTTTTAAAGATTTTATCTATTTATTCATAAGAGACACAGAGAGAGAGGCAGAGACACAGGCAGAGGGAGAAGCAGGCCCCATACAGGGAGCCCGACGGGACTCCATCCCAGGTCTCCAGGATCCTTGTACATATTAGGTATGTGAAAATACCTAAATAAAACTTTGTGTGTTTTGTTAGTTTTTGTTTTAGTAATAATCTCTGCACCCAATGTGGGGCTTGAACTCACAACCCTGAGATCAAGAAACCCATGTTCTTTCTGACTGAGCCAGCCAGGTACCCCTGTGTACACATTTTTTTTTTAAATCTGGGAGAAAAAAAAAAAAGAAGGGGTGAGAGGGAGAAAGAGAGAGAACAAATTCTAGGGCTTCTCTTGCAAATCCTACTTGTTCAAGGACACGAGATGATGTGTGATTATAAGATCTTTTTCAGTACTTTGCTGCAGTTTTTATTGCCAAGAGTCTATAGGCTCAATGTTCTAGTCTTATGCAGAACTGTCCTATCCTTCACTTCAGCCAGTCCGATCTCTTGAACCCAGAAGGCATCTTGGACTCTGTCTCTGCCTCTGTTTGCTGGGATGTTTCCTCCATTCTAAAGAATCCAAATTTTTTCTCCTTTTAGAACCAGTTAAGATAAGATTGATTTCCTAGTCTTTCCTATCCATTCCTGCAGAAAAGTTTCTCTTTTTTTTAAGATTTTATTTTATTTATTCATGATAGACACAGAGAGTGAGAGAGAGGCAGAGACACAGGCAGAGAGAGAAGCAGGCTCCATGCACGGAGCCGGGAGCGGGACTTGATCCCCGGTCCCCAGGATCACGCCCCGGGCTGCAGGCAGTACTAAACCGCTGCACCACCAGGGCTGCCCAAGAAAAGGTTCTATTCCTTCTTTTAAGTTTCTCAAATATTTATAATCTAAACTGCTCGTTTGACACGTTTTTGCTGCCTTGTATTGTTTTTCATGTGCATGTCTTCTCAGGTAGATCATGGACTTCCTCAGGGCAGAGACTGGGTCATATTTTTCTTTGAGTCTCCCAAGGCACTTAATACGTGCTCAGTAAGTGTCAATTTTAAAATACCTCACTTTGATAGTCTTTCCAAAGCACTCTCAGCCATTATCTCATTTGATCATTACATCAACACTATGAGATCCAAGGAGCTAAATGCTTAACCTCTGAGCCACCCAGGCGTCCCAGGAGGAGCTAGAAATATGTTATTTCTTCCTTCTGACAAATAAGGAACCTGAATCCCAAGGTCACCGATAGAGAGAAAGAGAGAGAGAGAGAGAGAGAGAGAGAGAGAACAGATAATTGCATATGAAAGTTTGATCCAGTTCAAGGCTTCCCATGACTCTCCCTCCCCCACCCTACCTGAAGACAGGCCTCTGCACCCTTCACCTCCTCATTCTCCAAGTCCTTTAGAGCTGCTTAGCCAAGGCTCGTATAGTACCATATTATAAAACTTGACAAATATGAGACACAAAATTTCAGTCGATTTGTGACCAGCTCTGAGTCACTAAAGCAGGCTGGCTATTTTGTTCCAAGTACCGTTTGTTAGGGACATTATGTCTGATATTAAATGATGCTGCACCACAGAGCTGAGGAAGCATAAATGATTTTTAAAAGCCGTAGAAAATGACAGCACTTTAATATTAAGCATGAAAGGTGGCAGCTGACAAGATGACCAGGGAAATAAAATTTCTGCACTGGATCGCACTATTCCTCTATGTGTTGCTAGTAGAACTCTGTAGTTAGTACTAAAGGGAAAAATGAAGCTATCACCCTGCCTGCCTAACCAAGATTGCAGTCTATCAGCTTCTCTGATGCAAGAGATTTGAGAAACTTGGTGTAATTTATTCAGTATCAAATATTATTTTTCAAATAATTCACTTAATAATTACATTCCAGTCATCTTTGAAAAGAGGGTGGAAGTGGTGTCAGAGGTACCTGTCCCCCTCCTCCCATCCAACCTCCTGTTGAGATCCCTCATTGGCTGAAAGCGGTCGGAGAATACAGGAGCCCTGAAGTACTTACAGGTCTACATACTGTGTCAAAAACCAGAATGTGCATCTGGGGGGCAAATGGAAGACATCTAGCTCATTGGTCTAGAGATGCACAAGTGACCCAGACTGGCCAATGAGACATATGGGAAAGTCTGCTGTGTACTTTGGGAAAGATTTTCTTCCCGGAGTGTTACAGAAAGAAGGTTCCTCCCCTTCCTTCCCAATTGGGTTGCTGTTGAGTTGGATGTACTTCTTGGATTTCTGCAGCTACCTTGTGACCATGAGGGAAATGCAAAAAGAACTGCAAAGAACCTTGACCACAGAGCTACTAAAAGGCTTTGGGACCTCCAGCTCCAGACTTATTAAGCAAACAATGAATGCCCCTATAGTTCATTTTTTAAAAAGATTTTATTTATGTATTCATGAGAGACAGAGACATTGGCAGAGGGAGAAGCAGGCTCCATGCGGGAAGCCCGATGCAGGACTTGATGGGGGACTTGATGGGGGAGGAGGATCACACACTGAGCCCAAGGCCGATGCTCAACCTGCTCAACCGCTGAGCCACCCAGGTGTCCCTAAATGCCCCTATAGTTTAAAGAGGAGGCAGGGAGGTAAGGAGGAAGAGAGAGAGAGCATGAGTGAGAGAGCGTGAATAAGGAAGTGTGAGCGAGCAAGCTGAATGAAGGATGACAGATAATGGAGAGGTCAGAGGAGCCTGGGGGAGGACACTAGAGAAGAAGCTGACCCAGGGGGCTGCATCAGACTGAGGAGACTGGCTGGCTCAGTGTGGGCGGCGGGTCTGGGAAGGTTCAGAGGGCCGCTCCGTCGGGTTTAGACCGTGAGCTGCGACTTTGAACAAGGTATTTCTTTGCGCCTTAGTTTTCCCCTCTGTAAAACGGGTATGATAGCGACCCCCTCGTAGGACACTGTACGAAGAGCCGACACGAGGACGAAATGAGGAACAGCAAGGAAACTCTTGCTTGACGCAGTTCCTGACTCACTGCAGGCCTTCAATAAACAATTACCATTTTCTCAACCTTTGCCTTCTACAAGGGGCAGGTACTCGGAAAAAGCAGCCAAAGAGGCCTTCTCAGCCCCGGATCCAGAAGCCGGGCTCACCGGCCGTGGAGGACCAGGGCCGCGCGCTCGGCGAGGGGCGGGGCCTGCCGTTCCCGCCTCGAGCGTGGCCCGCCCCCCGGCAGGCCCCGCCCCCGGCAGGCCCCGCCCCTGGCTCCCACGAGTCCTCGCGTGTTTCTGCCTTTTCCCCGCCCTCCCCCGCCCTTCCCGCGCGGTCCTCCGGGCCTGTCTTCCCCCCGCCCCAGCGCTGGGCCCGAGTGAGAGGTTCCGGAGCCCGGGCGCGGGCAGGGGGCCGGTGTCGACGCTGCCGGCCAGGTCGGCAGGCTCCGCACTGTCTCGGGAGCTTCAGCTGCCCCGTGGTGTGCAGGTTTGCCTCGGAGGGTCGGCGGGCCGCGCTACGGGGAGGAGCAGTGCTGGGAGGGTCAGTCCGGTCGCCCCTGACCCCGGCCGCCGCGGCCGCGGCCGCCCGCGCCCTTGGGAATCCTTGGCTGCCCAGACGGAAGGGAAGTAGGCGCGGGAGAGCCCGCTCCGCATTTTGATTCATCTCGGGCTCTGTAAGGGTCACAACTTGTGAAAATACCTGTAAAATCAATTTAACGTTCAGTGCAGCGTGTAAAGACAGCTCTTAAGAATTCAAGAGACGCCTGAGTCAGAACATTTCAATGCCGGGGTCCCTGTAGCAGCGTTTTAACACGTCTGAGTGCAGAGGGTGGAGAATCGAGCCTGATTGCCGCCTTCGGTCACGCCCTGTAACATTTTAAAAGGGCAAAGAAAGGCACCCCAAGAAAACCCAAGCGGCTGCACCCCTAGGGAGGGAAGAACAGCTGACCTTTGAAATTCGGGTTGGTCCTCATTTCTGCGTGCGACGTTTGCCTGCCTGCCGACTTTAGATCGACGATAAACGATTGTTAAAACACTGGGCTTAACTAACTAGTGGCTTTTGTTGAGAAGTCGATTGTGTTACTGATTCTTGATATCTAAGCCAAAGCAGCATTCATTATCTCCGTTTTGCAGCTGGAAAGAAGTTTGGCACAAAAAAAGCATTTCCCTTAAAACCACACCGAAGGAAACGCCGAGCTGCAAATTAAGTCTTAGCATTCCAACTCCCCATCTGGACCATGTTACAGAATAAATGAGTAGTTACTTTGATGCTACCCATAAAACGAGGGAGTAAACCAAATGTTCTGTGAACTTAAAGTGTTAAATCATAATAACCTTCCATGTCTTCTGCTTTGGGAAGCTCAGCTGCCTTTTGGAGTTTGATACCTTATGGAGAGGAGTGGGCGGAGCCAAAACAAAACAAAAACGGAAAATAACGTCAAGGGAAAAATTTAGTCTCCAGAGTCCAAACTGTACCCATCTTTACTGCCCCTTTGTGTTGCTGTCATAGTTCTCAGTGTATTCCATGTTCTGGCAAAAACACCGGACTGCCACGTCCCAGCCTCAGCCACATTAACAACGACACCGCGGCGTTGCTCTTTTGGCACTGACCTCCCATGTCAGTCTTCTTGGCATGTTCTTTCCTCCAGGTGCTTCTTACTGATGTTGTTATGTGGAAATCAATTGTCGTTCAACCGAATGGTGTGTCATTCCTGAAGGATGATTCTAGAGTTAATGATCAAAAGCCACCGACAGATTTTAGATGAAAGGACAAGCTAAAGAAGCTCGAGAAACTATTGTGGAATTTGATAACTGAGCTATTTTGAGGAAAAAAGCAGACATTGACTCCCACCTCCCCTCACCTGCCCCCCGCCCTTTTCCCAATTCACTCATAACTGGAAGGCAGCTCAGTTTTAACTTAGACATCATGTTGAGGGGAAGGGAGCATCCTTCTGTTTAGTGAATTGGAAAATTTTCTTTCCAAAGGAGGCTCCTTTTTTTGACAGCTTGGAACAAGTAGGAACATTTATGTGCTTAGAATGCAAATTGTTTTGCCACTTAGAAGTCTGCCCATAAAACTTGTACAAGAGCTTGGGATCCAGGGTGTGTGATACAGTCTCTCCTTGTAAGCGGTATCCCTGTGGTTCCTCCCCAGGTTGTAGACAACAGAAACTTGAACCCAAAGTAGTTTTCTTGGAGCAGCCACCCAATTTATTCACTTTTTGTTTCACTCAGATGGCATCTGGGGATTTCTGCTTACCGGGAGAGGGGATGGAAGTACTCCAACAAGGTAAGGGCTGCCATTTGAAGGAAGTTTGATGACCTGCCCAGAGAGGTCTGATCCAGGCTCTTGCTTTCTATAATAAAAAGGATTTATAAAGTTCACCAGTATGGTTTCTCATATAAAAGCCGAAGTTCCTGGGGGAACTAGGATACGTGCAAGATTCTTGAACAATCTTGTATTAGAAAACAGATTATATTGGCTCCTGTTAAGTATCATCTGTGCAGTAGACTGAAGACTCTGGTTGTTTCCATGCTGTATCAGCAGGCATAACCTGAAGAGAACGGTGGCCAGCACACTCTGTGAGGGCTTTCTTCCTACCTGGGTCTTGAATATTCTCATATTTTGTACTTCAAAATCTCAGATCCTTCTGTAGCTTGAATTCTTTCCCTATCCCAAACCCTTTCTATATCTTGAATCCTTCAAGAACTTGAATCTTCTATATTTTGACCTTCAATGCCTGAGGGGGAGGAAAGAAGAGATTTCTTATTTTCCAAAAGGACTTTCTGATGGTCCAAAGAATGAAAATTTGATGGTTTGGTAAGTAGGAGTAAAACAGAAGACCCCAGCAGAAAGTGTGTGGGAAAAGAGATGAAAAGACAGGCACTTGAGCCGATGGAATAACCAGAGGATCCCAGCTTCTTGTACTTTTTCTCATTCTTGTGCTGCTCTGAATCCACATGGGTTATTTACCTCTGTTTACAATAAGATTATTTTAAAGATTTTATTTATTTATTCATGAGAGACAGAGAGGTAGAGACACAGGCAGAGGGAGAAGCAGATTCCCTGCAGGGAGCCCAATGCAGGACTGGATCCCAGGACCCCAGGATCATGACCTGAGCCAAAGTCAGACAGACGCTCAACCACTGAGCCACGCAGATGTCCTACAATAAGAATTTAGTTCAGTTTTTCACTTACTCCTAAGAATATACCTTCTTGCAGTCTTGCGTATGTAACTAGAGATCACATCCAAAGTTGGAACTTAACCTGTGTTTTTTTTTTTCCCCCGTTTCTCAAGAATTTTAGTTACTGTCTGTAATATGTGAATGAGCCATTTGGAGTCCTATGGTGATCCCTACCAAAAGGTTTCTTATTCACGATTCTATGTGTAATACTTTCCAACTCTACTTCCATTTTCTTTAAAAAAATTTTTTTTAATTTTTATTTATTTATGATAGTCACACACACACACACACAGAGAGAGAGGCAGAGACACAGGCAGAGGGAGAAGCAGGCTCCATGCACCGGAAGCCCGATGTGGGATTCGATCCCGGGTCTCCAGGATCGCGCCCTGGGCCAAAGGCAGGCGCCGAACCGCTGTGCCACCCAGGGATCCCCTCTACTTCCGTTTTCTAATCTCTTAGTTTCATTAGAGACTCATTCCCTAATTCTTGATTAGTATCTTTGTGTATATATATATATATATATATATATATATATATATATGCTTATTACCTTGAGTATTGCCTCTAGTTTATTTTTGGGTTTTTTAAAACATTTCATTGGATATAGAAAACTTCCCTACCAAAAACCTAGGGGTTTTTTGGAAGTGAGTATTAAGCTAAGAGTGATTCTCAATTATATATGATACCTTCTTTGCTTTTTTTTTTTTTCCCTTTTGGGGGGCATCCCATTAAGTATGTAGCAAACAGCTTCCTCCTTGTAACCTGAGTGAAGAGGATCTGTTACAGAACCCATACTTCAGCAAACTGCTGCTGGGTCTCTCACAACACATGGATGAGAGTGGCTTAAGCCTTACCCTGGCAAAGGAGCAGGCTCAGGTAAGAGCCTTGGGAGGAGGGATGATAAGAAGAAGGAAAAATCTTCCAAGAGAGAGAAAGAGGTTCCTACCTGGGATTTTTTTGGTTTTCTAGGCATGGAAGGAAGTTCGACTGCATAAGACAACATGGCTGAGGTCTGAGATTTTACAGAGAGTCATTCAAGAGCTGCTTGTGGACTATTATGTGAAGACACAAGACACAAATTTAACTTCTGAGGACAAGAAGGTGAAGCAGGAGAGAGGCAGTAGCAGTTGGTTACTAGCTGCAGGAATGACCAGACAAACTGTGGCTTCACCTGATTGTATGCTCTGGGGGGAAACAAAGAAGAAATGGACTGGGGGCGCCTGGCTGGCTTGGTGGGTGGAGCATATGATGCTTGATCTCAGGGTTGTGAGTTTGAACCCCATATTGGGTGTAGAGATTGCTTAAAAATAAAATCTTTAAAAAAGAAGAAGAAATGGACTGTAGTTACGGGGAAGAGTTGGGTGTGTTGTCAGAGTTTTGAAAAGATAGACATGAGAAGGCACTGGCAGCTGAAAGGGATAACATGTTTGAGAACCTTGAAAATGTGTGAAGAACTGGTTTATGAGGATGGAGATGGTGGAGTGGGAGAAGTTGAATAGTAACCCCCTTTTGTCTTTTATTCTCAGTTTCATGAGACACTTGAACAGCGGCTACTCGTGACTGAACTGACACGACTATTAGGTGCCAGCCAGGAGAGGGAAATGCCTCCACTGCTGGGGCTGGAGAAGACGGATCTTCTGGAACTCATGCCCCCCTCAGAGGTTGGGGATGGGCAGATATTGGGACCAAAGAAGTAAAATGGCTTAATTTCTCCCATATATTTAAACGTTTTTTTCCCCTTTTTTACACTTTATTATTTTTGTAAAAATGATCTACATTCATGGGGGCCAAACTCAAATAAATTAGAAAAATGTTACACACAAGAGGGAACCCTGGGTGGCGCAGCGGTTTGGCGCCTGCCTTTGACCCAGGGCGCGATCCTGGAGACCCGGGATCGAGTCCCATGTCGGGCTCCCGGTGCATGGCGCCTGCTTCTCCCTCTGCCTGTGTCTCTGCCTCTCTCTCTCTCTGTATGACTATCGTAAAAAAAAAAAAAAAAAAAAAATGTTACACACAAGAAAGTAAAAGCTGAAATACTAGTCTAGAAATAAATACAGTATATTATATATAGCTCAACATAAATGGTATTATAGCCTCCATGCTTATAAAGTGAATATAATATGTTTTCACTTAATCTATTTTGGATTTTGTGATGCCTGGGTGGCTCAGTGGTTGAGTGTCTTCCTTTGGCCCAGGGTGTGATTCTGGGATCAAGTCCGTGTTGGGCTTCCTGTGGGGAGCCTGCTTCTCCCTCTGCCTGTGCCTCTGCCTCTCTCTCTCTCTCAGTCTGTGTCTCTCATGAATAGATAAATCTTTTTTTTTTAAAGGAACATGCTGGTTCATATGTGTGTTTGCCTTTGTAGGATTATTTTCCCAATTACTGGTTCTCAAAGTAGGATCACTGGTCAGAGGCTATATACATAAACATTGGTACATATTGCCAGTTCCCTACCTTTTCTTTTTTTCTTTCTTTCTTCTTCTTTTTTTTTTCTTTAAGATTTTATTTATGTATTCATGAGAGACACAGAAAGAGAGGCAGTAGTAGAGTAGGAACAGGATACAGAGTACCCCACCGGTTCCCTACCCTTTCATCAATGTGGGATTTTTTTTTTTTTTTTTTTAAGATTTTATTTCTTTGTGAGAGACACGGGGTGGGGAGAGAGAGAGAAAGGCAAACACAGGCAGAGGGAGAAGCAGGCTCCATGCAGGGAGCCCGACGTGGGACTCGATCCTGGGTCTCCAGGATCATACCCCAAGCTGAAGGCGGTGCTGAACCGCTGAGCCACCTGGGCTACCCAACATGGGATCTTGACCATCATTTTATTCTTTGCGGATTTGATAGGCTAATAAAAATGAATCTTCTGGGGATGATTCATTTTTATGAATCATTTTAAACACTGAGCCACCACTGGGTGTTTAGCTCCTGCCTTTGGCCCAGGACATGATCTTGAAGTCCCAGGATCGAGTCCCGCATCATGCTCCCTGCATGGAGCCTGTTTCTCCCTCTGCCTGTGTCTCTGCCTCTCTTTGTCTCTCTTATGAACACATAAATAAAATCTTTAAAAAAAAAAAAAATCGGGGCAGCTTGGGTGGCTCAGCTGTTTAGCGCCACCTTTGGCCCAGGGCCTGATCCTGGAGACACAGGATGGAGTCCCATGTCTGGCTCCCCGCATGGGGCCTGCTTCTCCCTCTGCCTGTGCCTCTGCCTCTTTCTCTCTCTTTCTCTCTCTTTCTCTCTCTTTCTCTCTCTCTCTCTTTCCCTCTTTCTTTCTCTGTGTCTCTCATGAATAAATAAAGTCCTTAAAAAAAAAAATCTTCCTGATGTCTCTTAGATGCATTTTCGCTGGTTGTCTTTGAGATTGTTATCATCCTGTACTCATTGGCTAGATTTTCCTAATTCTAAAGTCTATTTGGATCTCTCTTGCTGCTGTGGCTATAGGATTTTATGTGGATGAGATCTCGACTCCCACTGGAAGTGGAGGAACAGCTCAAGAAGAAATGTTTCACCCTGCTCTGCTATCATGACCCCAATTCAGGTGAGTGCTGCACTCTTCTGTTCACAGCTGACTTTCAGGGTACCTGGTCTACTCTTCTGAGAATAATATATTGAATTTTAGATTTAGGACAGAAGCTAGGAAGCTTTGGAGATGCTTATTTCCTTGCTGGTAGAGTACGAGCAAGGAATTATGTGAGAGACTCCTTTTATTCAGTAAGGTACCAAGTGTCCTCTTGCAGCAGGGAAGGTTGAGTTCATTCTTCTTAGGAGAATTGGAATGGGATGGGGAAGAAAGATCAGGCTTTATCTTCACTTCTATGAGTTAAGAATTAAGGGCCAAATCTGGAAATTTTTTCCCCAAAATCTGGAATTAAAGGTAAAAGTGAGGGGCATGTGGCTGTCTCAGTCTGAAGAGCATGTGACTCTTGATCTTGGGATCATGAGTTTGAGCCCCATGTGCAGTGTAGAGATTATTCAAATGAATAAGTAAAATTAAAAATTAAAAGTAAGAGTATAGAGAACTTTATGAGAACTGGATCATTTTAACAGGACATCAGAAAAAAACCTGAGAACAATTTGTAGGGCTAGAAATCCGTTAGCATACTGATAAATGGCCTTAGAAGGGCAGTAACAATTGGGTTTTCCTGTCTAGTCCTCTGTCTCTTTGCCAGATTCAGACAGTGAAACCTTGAAGGCAGCAAAGGTGTGGAAACTGGCAGAGGTCCTGGTGAGTGAGAAGCAGCAATGCCAGGATGCCAAGAGCCAGCAGAAGGAACAGATGGTGTTGCTTGAGAAGAAGAGTGCCACCTACTCCCAGGTTTGTCACAGCAGTGGGACAGCCTCCTCTTTTATCCTGGCCCCAGGGGCACTTTTGGGGAAGCCAGAGATTTCTGATCTGCATTCTTTTATGCTGACTTTTATTTTGCCCTCTTCCTGCCTCCTGGAGCTCAGGTGCTTTTGCGCTGCCTTGCCTTGCTGCAAAGGCTTCTTCAGGAGCACCGGCTTAAGACCCAGTCTGAGCTGGACCGTATCAATGCCCAGTACCTGGAGATCAAGTGCAGTGCCATGATCCTTAAGCTGAGGTGAGTTCTATGACCCTTGTGGGTCTAGGAAACTCTGTCTTCCACACTACCCTCTCCAACCTTCACCCGCATCTCCCTTTCCTCTCTGTCATGCCTGACATTTTATGGGTATTTAGTTAATCCCACACAGCAGTATGAGCCTTTGGATTACCCAGAAATGTTCAACAATCTTTTTTTTTTTTTTTTTAAAGATTTATTTAGTTTGAAAGAGAGAGAGCACACAGTGGGGAGGGACAGAGGGAGAGGGAGAGAGTCCCAAGTGGACTCTGCACTGAATGTGGAGCCTGATATGAGGCTCAATCCCACGATCCTGAGATCACAACTTAAGCCAAAACAAAAAGTTGGATGCTTAACTGATTGTGTCACCTAGGTGCCCCCGTTCAGCATTCTTGAATCTTATTTTATTTTATTTTAAAAAAATTTTTAAATATATTCTTTAGGGACGCCAGGGTGGCTCGGTCAGTTGAGTGTCTGCCTTTGGCTTGGGTCATGATCCCAGGGTTCTGGGATTGAGCCCCATGTGGGGCTCTCTGCTTGCTGGGGAGCCTGCTTCTCGAACCTCTCCCTCTGCCTGCTGTTCCCCCTGCTTGTGTGCTCTGTGTGTGTGTCAAATAGATAAAACAATTTTTTTTTAAATAAAGATTTGGGACACCTGGGTGGCTCAGCCAGCAATTGAGCATCTGGCTTCGGCTCAGGGCATAATCCTGGAGTCCCGGGGTCGAGTCCTGCATTAGGCTCCCTGCATGGAGCCTGCTTCTCCCTCTGCCTGTGTCTCTGCCTCTGTCTCTCATGAAAAAATAAATAAAACCTTTAAAAAAATAAATAAAGATTTTATTTATTTGAGAGAGAGCGCAGGTGAGAGGGAAGGGGCAGAGGGAGAGAGAGAAGCAGACTCCCCACTGAGCAGGGAGCCCTATGTGGGGCTCAATCCCAGGACCCTAGGATCATGACCTAAGCTGAAGGCAGGCAGACACTTAACTGACTGAACCACTCAGGTGTCCCTTGAGTCTTATTTTAAAGTCTTCTGAAGTAAGTGCTTTCTTGTGAGATACATTCCTCAGGAATTCAGAGGTTGCTTATCCTGTCACTACTTAGCCCACTTCTTGACCATGGGCAGGTACTCTGCGTCCTGTTCCTAACTCTACTGCTATCAAGACCCCTCAGCCTTTCTTTCTTCCCTCTGTCAGGATGGAGGAGCTAAAGATCTTGTCTGACACTTACACTGCTGAGAAAGTAGAAGTTCATCGTCTCATCAGGTGAGAACTCCCAAGGGCCTGGTCCAGCTACTCAGAACTGGTTCCACACTCTCCACACTCATTCATTTTAATGTGTTCTTATATACTTTCTGAGCAGCCAGATCCTTATATGGTATCTTGCTTTTCTTTTACCTTGTAACTTGCTTTTCTCTTGGGCATATAGGGACCGTTTGGAGGGGGCCATTCGCCTACAAGAGCAGGACATGGAGAAGTCCCAACAGGTTCTGAGCACCTATGAGGTCCTTGGGGAGGAGTTTGACAGGCTGGTAAAAGAGTACACTCAACTCAAGCAGGCAGCTGAGAACAAGCGCTGGGCCCTCCAGGAGTTTAACAAGGCCTGCCGCTGAGCACTGGCTGGGGCCTGTCTGGAGGCGGACTTCTGCACGGGCGCTGCCTCCCCACTTGCTGCTAAAAGGACCACCACCACCTGAGGCCTGCTTTCATTCCGAGAGTGTGGGGACACTTGCTTGAAACACTGCAGTGGGTCAGGCACTGTCCTGGTTTTTCTTCCTTGTTGACAGTGACTGAGTCTCTTCTGGGAAATGGAGCAGATTTATATAATTCTGTGTGTAGCTATTTGTCAGTGTCAGCCCTGCATTATATTTGATTATCTCCTGAATAAAGTGATGATGCTTCCTTTGGGCAAGGGTGAAAAAAGAACATCAAAGATTAGGTGGGCTGGGAGGGAAACCAAGTGGATCTAGACAAACAGATGTATAATGCTTATGCTAAGAGTGGGAGGTAGGAGTGCCTGCCCACCTGCAGTCTTACAGGCTTCATTCTTGAAAAGCAGACATGGCTTAAGTCTGGGCTTGCTCTTGAAGAACTGTAATATCCAGAGGAGAGTGCTGGATGCCAGTAGGCGGGTAGGGGACTATCCTGTTGCTACGGCTCTCAGTGGAGCAGTTGTAAAAAGCAGCCGGGCATCCATCTCTGTTACAGGAAAGGGCACAAGCCACTTGTGTTTGAGGTTCCCATTGGTGTGATTTGAGCATTACTTTTTTCTCTAAAAGCAGAGATTGGGATGAGATTGCTCCGAGGAACCAAGTTTCACAGTCCACTTAGCTTAGAACAGGGCAGGGCCCTGCTGGCATCAGAGTTAGTCAATATTGCTTAGTTCTATACTTTTTCTTTTCCCCAACATTTTTTAAATTTTTATTTATTTATTCATGAGAGGCACAGAGAGGGGCACAGACACAGGCAGAGGGAGAAGCAGGCTCCATGCAGGGAGCCCGAGTGGGACTCGATCCCGGGTCCCCAGGATCACACCCTGGGCTGAAAGGCGGTGCTAAACCACTGAGCCACCCGGGCTGCCCTTCTCCAACATTTTTAGGGTAAAGTTTCAAACCTATGGAAAAATTAAAAGAATAGTACAATAAACACCAATAGTCTTAACAACCTAGATTCAACAATGAACATTTTGCTTTTCTCTCTCTCTCTCTCTCTCCTCTCTCCCCTCCCCCTCTCTGTATAGATTGATAAATATATTAGTTATACAGACTTTTTTCTTCTGAAGCCACTTTATATAAGTTACAGTGTGCTACTTCATTCCCTAAAGACTTAAGCAGGCAACTCCTAAAAATAAGGGTATTCCTCTGTATAACTAATTATTATACCTAAAAATATAATAATTTCACAATGTCTATTATCTAGGTCATACTAAAATTCCTGTAATTTGTTTTCTTGGTGTAGGTTCCATTGAAGTTCTGGTTATTACATTTGGATGTTAGGTTTGTTTTTTCTGTTTCGTTTTTGTGTGTTTTTATTTTTTGATAGGCCCCATGCCAAATGTGGGGCTGTGAACTCTCAAGATTGAGAGTCATATGATCTATATACTGAGCCAGCCAGGTGCCCCTGGATGTCAGGTTTCTTTAATCTCTTTTGAAATAGAAAATTTTTCCTACTTTTATTTATTTATTTATTTACTTTAAAGAGAGGAGAGGAGGGCAGCCCTGGTGGCGCAGCGGTTAGGCGCCACCTGCAGCCTGGGGTGTGATCCTGGGGACCCGGGATCGAGTCCCACATTGGGCTCCCTGCATGGAGCCTGCTTCTTCCTCTGCCTGTGTCTCTGCCTCTCTCTCTCTGTGTCTATGAATAAATAAATAAAATCTTAAAAAAAAAGAGAGAGAGAGGAGAGGAGCAGAGGGAGAGAATCCTAAGCAGACCCCATACCCAGTGAGGAGCCCAACGCAGAGCTTGATTCCACAACCTGGAGATCATGACCTGAGGTGAAATCAAGAGTTGGACACTCAACCAACTGAGCTATCCAGGCACCCCACTTAACTTTTTTTTTTTCTTAAAGGTTTTTTTTTTTTTTAAAGATGTATTTATTTATGATAGACATAGAGAGAGAGAGAGGCAGAGACACAGGAGGAGGGAGAAGCAGGCTCCATGCCGGGAGCCTGATGTGGGATTCGATCCCAGGACTCCAGGATCGCGCCCTGGGCCAAAGGCAGGCACCAAACCGCTGAGCCACCCAGGGATCCCCTTAACTTTTTTTTTTAACTGATACTAGTTTTGGGTATTTTTTTCCTTGAGAGGGAGAGAGAGCACAAGCAGAGGGAGAGGGAGAATGAGCAAGGAGCATGATACAGGGCTTGATCCCAGGACCCTGGCATCATGACCTGAGTGGAAGGCAGATGCTTAACCCACTGAGCCACCCAAGTGTCCCTGAATTTAGTTTTTTTTTTTTTTAATCCAGTAAAAAAAAAAAAAAAATTCAGTCTGGTTACTTTGTAGGATGTCCTGTTGTCCAATTGTTTCCCATGGTGGTTAACTTGCTTTTCTCCTGTTCTGTCCAATATAGTAGCTGCTAGCCACCTGTAGCTATGTAAATTCAAATTTAAGGGACACCTGGGTGGCTCACTGGTTGAGTGTCTCTGTCTTTGGCTCAGGTCATGATCCCAGGGTTCTGGGATCGAGTCTTTCATCAGGCTCTCTGCAGGAGCCCGCTTCTCCCTCTGCGTGCTTCTCATGAATAAATAAAATCTTGGGGCACTTGGATGGCTCAGCGGTTGAACGTCTGCCTTTGGCTCAGGGTGTGATCTCGGGATCTGGGATTGAGTCCCACATCAGGCCCCCCAGAGGGAGCCTGCATCACCCTCTGCCTGTGTCTCTCCCTCTCTCTGGGTCTCTCATGAATAAATAAAACCTTAAAAAATTTTAAATTTAAATTTATTAAAAGAGAAAATTTCAGTAGTTTGGTGGTTACTGTATTGGGTGGTGCAAATATAGAACATTTCCATCGTTATAGAAAGTTCTAGGGGACCCTGGCTGGCTCAGTTGGTAGAGCATGTGACTCTTGATCTTGGGATCATGAGTTCAAACCCATGTTGGGAGTAGAGATTACTTAATAAAGAAAAGTGTAAAATAGGGGACACCTGGGTGGCTCAGCAGTTGAGCATCTGGCTTCAGCTCAGGACGTGATCCTGGAGTTCCGGGATCAAGTTCCACATCAGGCTTCTTCATGGAGCCTGCTTCTCCTCCCTCTGCCTATGTCTCTGCCTCTGTCTCTCTCATGAGTAAATAAATAAAATCTTTTTCTTTTTTTTTTTTTAGGATTTTATTTATTTACTCATAAGAGACAGAGAGTTGCAGAGACACAGGCAGAGGGAGAAGCAGGCTCCATGCAGGGAGCCGGACGCGGGACTCGATCCGGGTATCCAGGATCACACCCTGGGCCAAAGGCAGGCACTAAACTGCCGAGCCACCCAGGGATCCCCCAATAAATAAAATCTTAAAAAAAAAAACAAAAATCGGGCAGCCCTCGAGTCCCGGGATCAAGTCCCACGTCCGGCTCCCTGCATGGATCCTGCTTCTCCCTCTGCCTGTGTCTCTGCCTCTCTCTCTCTCATGAATAAATAAATACCATCTTTAAAATATCTCAAATTAGCTTTTCCTGATATTTATTAGGGCATTCAGCATTTCCTCATTTAATTAGGTACTCTTACACTATAGTAGGTTATGGTATTTGAAATAATAAGGATAATAATTAAAAAATGGACTCTGGGGCAGCCTGGGTGGCTCAGTGGTTTAGCACTGCCTTCAGCCCAGAGCATGATCCTGGAGACCCAGGATCGAGTCCCACATTGGGTTCCCTGCATGGAGCCTGCTTCTCCCTCTGCATGTGTCTCTGCCTCTCTCTCTCTTCTCTGTATATTCTCATGAATAAATAAATAAATAAATAAATAAATAAATAAATAAATAAATCTTAAAAAAAATGGACTCTGTCCTCAAGGCCTACAACTTAATAGTAGACACAAAAACAGTCTAAGCATATAAAGTAACAGGTAATACAAATAAATATGGTTGAAAACCAAGAGAAGTGAATCAGGAGTTATAAGGTAGAGCCTTAGTAGGGAAGAAAGCTTTGGTTCACTTTAGAGGTAAGTTTTGGGTGGCATTTTGGAAAAAGTGACAAAGAAGAGAAGGGGTAGTACATGAAGGTACAAGGTTAGAAATGAGAAAATCATGCACCAAGGAAAGCCTTCATCTTAAATGACTGAAATTTGAGAAGAATATCCCATGGTTTCAGTCAAGTCTCTGGAGAGCTGGGGTCTGAGAAATGTTTAGATTTCCAACTACTGAGAAAGCAAAATGGCTTCCAAGGCAATGGTTCCCAGCCCTGGCTCCCTAAATGACCTGGAGTTGGACAGCTAGCTGTTTCTTGTTTCCCAAAACCCAAATAAAACAGAACATTTGCCTTTAACAGTGCTGCCCAACTACATAATAAAACATTATTGGCTTAAAAACAACAAAAAATGTGTTTTGTAAAAAAAAATTCAAACAAAATAAATATGTAATAGTAAAAAGTAGATTTACCACACCCCCTGAGGAGACACACACACAAACGTGTACACACGGAACCCATTAGTCCAGTCCACTACCATAGAGTAGCCAGAGTGATTTGGTGAATATAATGCCAGAGCTTTTTCTAAAGATTTGCAAACATATGTATAGCAATATTAGGTTATAATGTTGGAATATGGCCACATCATAAT